CATAAATCCACATAATACAACGTTTGCATTTAAAAATCACCTAAGTTAACAGTCCCAAAAGGTGAAGCCAATTGTGATTGGGATTTTAAAGATGGTTGCCTTTTGCTTGACACCATATGAGCTTTGGATTTTGATGAGGATCCATATTTTGGTAGAGGAAAAGATGATTTTGATGGCACTGGTGATCCACATGTCAACCTTGTATGACCACTTTCCTTGCACCGACTACATGTCGATCTCTTCTTCTCTTCACCCTTAGACGGTATACGATCGTGACTTTTTGGTCGGCCAGGTAGCCTTCTGTCCATGGCTGGTGGCAAAACTGTTTATAAGTCATCTGGTATGTCCCACTCAGAAGGATGTGGAATAGGGTAGACAATCTCGGCATAAGTCTGTCGATAAACTTCTGTAGTGTAGCAATCCATAGCGTATGCGCTTGAATCATCTTGGTTTAAATGAAGAGCAACTTTTATAACATGGCCACACGGATAACCAGATGTTTGCCATTTCATACAACTACACGTCTTTGCATTTAGATCGACTAGCCCATTTAAGTTATTATCCAGTACTTGAAACAAAGTGTTTGAACATGGTTCAACTCTCCATGACGTTGACTTCACAACACGTTTCGTTATCTTTTTTTCAGTCCATGGTGTAACACGATGTTCCAATGTTCTTGTAAATTTAAATAAACAATACTTAGTAAAAATATAAATATGATAAGTTACGAATTCAAAGAAATAATACCTGCATGGTTTCTTTTCTTGTAGTACACTGTTGAATAGAGGCTCGAAAAAACTCCATTAACATAGTAATGGGTAATTCCGGGAATGACGACTTAGAGCGTTGATTGATTCTGCACTATTAGACGTCATGAAACCATATCTTGCTCCAAGTTGATGTACTCTTGACCATCTTTCAAACCCGACATCTTCTAGTGTTTGAGCACACTGAGGCAAACACGTCTTAAACAATTTATATGCTTATTGAAATCCACTTCCCGATAAGCTTTTACAGCCTTCCAGTATGTCCATTTGTGCTTTTTATACCAGCAGACCTTGATTTTAGATTTCTATACAAATGAACACCACAAAGTCCATGAAAAGCATCTGGGAAACACCTTCTAACAGCGTTGTCAATTGAGTTTGCCCTATCGGATATGATTGTCAGATTGCTAATAGGACCTATGCAATCCCTAAGATGCTCCATAAACCATGTCCATGAATCAGAGGTTTCAGATTTGCCAACCCCGTAAGCTATTGGCAATATCCCATTGTTAGCATCCATGGCTACTGCTAATAAGTTTACTCCAAGGTATCGACCTTTCAAATGTGCTCCGTCAACTATAATAACTGGGCGCATGCAAGTAATAAACGAACGAATCTACAAAATAATATACACAAGAAATATAATCATTTAAATGTGAAATGCATGTAACTAACAAAAATGAGTCAACAAAATTATATTGATTTACTAACCGTAGCACCAATGGCGATAAACAGCAACTCAAAGCGTCCATCTCTATCTGTTTTGATATGAGTTACCGACCCAGGATTTTTCAGCTTTAAATTGTGACAATAAGCCGGCAGTTGGGCAAACGATGCTTCTGGCGACCCCCTCAACAATTCCAAGGCATAACATTTGGCTCTCCAAGCTTGAGAATATGATATACTAATCTTGAACGAGCATTCATGTCAGTCATAATTTCATGTCCCCGATATACCCTGCCATTCAAAAACATTAACTCAGCCAGAAAACCACCCAACACCTTTTTGTTTGCCTGTCTATGGTGAGGAAAAACTTGGGTTCTTGAACATGTATGTTTATCAATAAAAGTCCTAACTTGAAACATTTTGCAATCTTTTATTCTCTTTGCAATCATACGCCACGTACAGTTTTTGTCAATCATACACCTTGTTTCGAAACGATCTTTGCTTGATTTGTTAACTTTTAGTTGATAGCCATCTTCCACACATTTCGTATACAAAGCTATCTTCAAGTCTTCCTTTGTATCAAAACAATCATCTTTCTTGACACGAATAACTTTTGTGTAACAATCAACTGCTTTCTTTGCCAACTCTTCTTCCGGTAACTGAAGTAATTCTGGCATATTCCAGTTATACTCCCGTGGCATTTTCTTTTCTTCGGGGACTTTTTCTTCTTCTTTTTCTTCTTCAGGATTATATGAATTACAGAATGGATGTTCAACATGTTCATTCACAGTCGTAACTTCCTCCTCATTATCATCAACAACATCTTCCTCGGCAACGGGTGTTTCATCATCAAAATTCGGGTATTGACCAATATGAAAATCATTACACACATGGTCTGTTTCTTCTTCTGAAACATCATCAAAATCCGTGTATTGACCAATATCAAAGTCCGGATATTGACCAAGACCAAATTTCGAATACTGACTAGTACTCACAATTTTTTCTGTTGGCTCATCATCGTCTAACTGGTCAATACGAAAACCGGAATTTGGTGCTGAAAGTTGATTGGGATTTGGATTAGAGAAAGGTTGTGGGTTTTGAGAAAAACTTAGTGATTACTACCCGCTACTGACCCAACAATACTACTTCTAGGTTCAACAACATACAATGTAACATCATCTTGTGAAACACTAATGTAAGCAATGAATCGTTCAACATCTTCATTGTCGGTTAACAAATAAACTTTACCATTTCTCTGATAAGATAGCCTAAATCCACTTAGGGGCTCTAAATTCAATTTATTTGAAACACGTAGCATTAGAGTTTCATAAGTTAACTTTTGTAAAGACAATTTTAGTTGAAGATTCATGGGTAAAGGCATATATTGTAAAACACCATGAACATTATCCCATGACCCTCCAAAACACAAATCTATCCAAACATGATCAACATTAGATGATTTCATGGTTGTAAATTAATTTACTAAACAGACGAGCTGCGAAACTAAAACCTGTTGCCGGATTGGGAAGGATGTCGTTGGATATAGGAACGGATGTCGCCAGAGAGAGTGATAGATGGAGATGGAATGAGTTGCGATTTAGGGATTTAGTTTATGATTTCAGTGTTATATACCCAAAATTTCAGTGTTGTGATTTACAGATTCTCGTTGCGATTTACGGATTATCGTTGCGATTTACAGATTCTCGTTGCGATTTACGGATTATCGTTGCGATTTACAGATTCTCGTTGCGATTTACGGATACGCGTTGCGATATACGGATACGCATTGCGATTTACCCATACGCGTTGCGATTTACGGATACGCGTTGCGATTTATGTGTTCGCGTTGCGATTTTCATATTCGCGTTGCGATTTTGGAAAATCGCAATGCGAATTTGTACTATCGCATTGCGATTTTCAAGAATCGCGTTGCGATTTTGGAAACTGATTTGCGATTCTGGGGATCGCGTTGCGATTTTTATTTCGCGTTGCGATTTTGTTGGTCATTTTGGCAAATCCAAAAAAAGTTGGTTAAAATCGTATATTATAACTTTTTTTTGGTCACTGAGGCGATTTTCTCTTTAGCTAATCCATTGCTCAACGATGAATTTTACCTTCAAATATTTCCTTTGATTTTTCCTAGGATCTTTTTTTTAGAAAAGTGAGATTCTTATTAATAAGGATAGAACTCATTGCTAGGGGCCTTGTTAGAAACCTCCTTAGAACTAAATGGAGGAAAAAGAGTGTCTGTGAGCTCAAAGTCGGTTTGAATCCGACCCAGGAGGTGATTTCTCTATTTGCTTTATTTTGCTTTTTTTATATGCTCAAATATAATATTTACTGGGGAGATGGGTTTTCATGGTATCAACTTCCATGTTTTCAGTCATCACTAGCTTCATTTGATAGCATCTTTTATGCCGAAGAATGAAGATATTTGGTTAATATTATTTGAACTGACTGCTGCTAGTGATATGGAAAAAATACAGGAGACGAAATCCAGTTGTCTGAAGATGGAGCATGCAAGTGATTGAATGGGTGCTCAGCTGACCGGACAAATTTTGGTTCAGGACAACATTCCTACAACAGATGATTCTCTGCATTTGGGAGAGTGAAACTGCTGCTTTTTCTTTTAGTGAATTTGTCATTGTTGCTAAAGAATATGTGAATTGTTAGCTCGTGTTGAACTTATTCTTTTTCCTATTCAGTTGGATAGAAACAGATCAAGCCTGGTGCTGCGGCTAAGAACTTTTAAGCTTTACATTTATAATTTTAAATGACAGATTGGTATGAATTTATAAGTTCTATTCCATCAATGAAACTTAATTTTAAATTTTATCAAATTATTAGTTAAAAATATCAAAATTTAAAAATATCGCCTCCATTCTCTTTAAATCTTTTGTGTTCTGTGCTTTTTGCATTTTTATTTTTGGACACTTTTCAAGCTGATTGTTGATGTTACATGGAAGCTTAGAATTTGGTAGTTTCGATGCTTGTTCTTATGAAGTTGAATTATTGTGTTAAGTGGTTAGATTCTTAGTAAATATGCTTGGATTTAACTTAAAAGTTCTATTTCTAGAATGTTATGGTTGTGCGATGTTGAACTGTTGATTGCAAATCATACCCTGAAGTTCTTGTAAGTGATGTCGAAATGCTTTTGTATGATAATTCTTTTCGATTCTGAGATCCCTGGATATTATCCTCGGCCATAGAACTTTCTGCATACTAGTTTCTTATTTTCCACCTTTTGTTATAGTTTTTGCTTGGTTTTTCATTTTGAGTTCCAAACTTCCGATTATCTCAAACGATAGTTGAGCAAACTCAACGATTCAAGAAATTATGGCTCATTTACACCCCAATTTTCATACTGTGTAAATTGTACTGTATTGTGCCATTCTTTTCTCCCTTTACAATATCATGTAACAAAAGTCCATAACTGATCAAGCTTTATTAATTCATTACTTATGATAGTTAGGTTTAGGTTACAACTAACGCAATGATGTTTTTTTCGGTTTCAATTTGATTAGGAATGAACTTTTCGTTTATGCAATTCATTCTCTCCATTTTTACGTTATTTATTTCTTATTGCAGTGGGTGTTGTCTCCCAAGTACTTCAATTTCCCGTTTCCTATGACGTTGACAATGATTCACATGGCATTCTCCGGAATCGTTGCATTTTTCCTTGTCCGTGTTTTCAAGGTATGACTGACATGCAACTAACTTCAATTTTTTTTTCCATCTAGCATTACTAACTATTATAAGGAATGTCTTCATACTAAACTATTGAATGCTAAACAACATACTCTCATCTTAACAATATATGCAAATGCAACTAGCTCTAGGAATGCCAAGTTTGTCACAATAAAATGTGTTTTTTAGGTTACATTGTCCCCATTTCCAAAACTTAGTGGTCTCTTTATGACCTGAAACTAAAGATCCATTATGGTTTTTTTTTGTGCTTTGTATTTTACCTACAGAGGCGAAATATAAATTTGAGAGCATAGCTATTATTTTTCTATGCAAGCTTCATTTTCCATTGTTTTGCCTAGTTTTGTAATGCATTTTCCTCTCCCTCAATCTTGCCATGCAGGTTGTAGCTCCTATCAAAATGACATTTGAAATGTAAGTATTATTCTTTATCTAATATAACCGTTATTATTCTCAGTTACTGCTTCTCTACAGTATCGATTTTCTCTTTCCTAAACAAATGTTCTCGATGTTGTAGATATGCAACATGTGTAATACCTATAAGTGCCTTCTTTGCATCAAGTAGTTGGTAAGTATTTAACTGTGGTATGACTGGAATTTGTGTTTGGTGTGTGGTGTAGTGTTTTCCTTATTATGGTGTGGTTTGTGTTGTGTAATGAGTTACTTCTGTCAGCAAAAAATACATACTGCTTGAAAACCCTGCCGGATTGAAAGCAAAGTATTACTTGTGAACTTGTTGCTTGTTTCAGACTCTTTTGTTTTAAGTATAATATTGTTCCTCAATGATCTGTATGATTTCCTATCCTAATGGTTGTTAAAGAGTTACTGCACCAAGTTGGTAGGCTGATTTGAGTTTGTGAAAATTCTCAACTAAATAAACCTGGATGATTATTGTTAAGCTCAAATCAAGTATAGATACAGTAGCAATACCTGCTACATGTATTGTTTTATCTTTTATTTTGTTTCTTAAACTTGAACTAAGGTTAAGGGAGTTTCGCGGAGTGGTCAAGTTGTCTTCTCTGCATAATGAAGTTTCTTAATTAAGAAGGATCCTAATTTGTTGAATTGCTGCCATTTGTCTTGCTCCGTGTTTTCATATCTTAATGCTTTGCCCTGAAACTGGTTCTGACATCACCAATTTATTTTTCTTATACTTTTAATGAAAATTAAATTTTAAATGCATTTAAGCTGTTGAGTTGCCAAAAGGTTTATGCTATAGGCTGCAAATTGCTTATAAGATATGGAGCTTATTATGTACTGTTTGTGCAAAATTTTGATATCTTTGTTTTATTTTGCTTATCTTTTGTTGATATTATATTTGCATATTTTAAGCATCCTCATTTTTTTTTGTCAATACAGGTTTGGCAACACTGCCAATTTTCACATATATGTGGCTTTTATCTAGATGCTCAAAGCTCTAAGTATGTGGAAACAAAGTGCATTATTTGATTACATCCAACGAAATCACTCTATAATTGTAATGACTGACTATTTATGTTTGCAATATTACAGTGCCAGTGGAAACATTTTTCATGGGTGTCATGTGTGGCACTGATAAACCAAGGTGTGATGTGTTCATAAACATGGTGCTGGTCAGCGTCGGAGTTGTCGTTTCCATGAGTTGGTGGCCGTACATGCTTGATGTATTAGGTGTTTTTACTGTAGTCACCATGTGGGCAGTTGTTGTAACTGAGGGTTGTAGGAAAATAAAGTTGCAGTACTATGAGTTTAAACTAGCATCTGCTGTATTAGATGCATTTGGTGGAGAGACATAAGCTTTGGTTTCAATTCTTCTTTGTGCATCATAGATAGTACAGCTCATGGCTAATCCGAGCAGGGAGCAATAATTAATTTTATGTGAACTAGGACTATTGTTGAATTCATTTAAGGAGATGTATAACTTTCAGTGTTTGTTTATTAACTTATAATAATGGTTATATGTTCTTTCTCAGTGTCGTACTTTCTTTGTTTTCTTAGAGTAATGTGAATATTTAGTATATGAATTGTTTATGTATAATATGATATATATATTTAGTATTATGAGGCATTAAATGTGATTTAGTTTGATTATGTGTCAATCTACAATATATATATATATATATATAATTTACGAAATACAATCACGACACACAAATGTGTGTCATCTTCATTTATGACGGGGGCTTCAATGGCACGCAATGTAAGTCATACATGCGTTTCATTAATTTATGATACACAAATGTGTGTCGTCTTTATTTATGACCAGGTTTCAATGACGTTCAATGCGCGTCATAAATGAGCGTCATAAATGTGTCATAAATACGTGTCATCTGAGATTTATGTAGGTGGCTTCAATGACGCGTAAATGTGTGTCATCTGCACTTATAGATGACGCGTAATGAGTGTCTTTAAAGGGTTTTTTCTAGTAGTGCAATCAACCACCAATTACAAATATCACCACAAAAAATCTATTTTTCTTACAAGTCCTTAACCCGAAATAAAAAATAAAGCACAATGATTATAAATTTAGAATCATATGCTATGAATAGTGAAAGTAACAAATTCAAAAGTCAAAGCTTCTAAGAAAAAGATGCAAAAATTATTTAAGATCTTCAAGAAGAATTTACTTGAGAACATCAACAAAAGATCAATATGGGGGGAAAAATACAAAAATCGTAGTATGTGTTACCCTTGTATGAAGTTGGAGTTTCCCTGATGGAAAGATGATGATCCAAGTGGTTAGATTTTAAGAGCCAAACAATACTTTTCACTTTCGAAAACTTCCAAAAGAATCTAAAGTAGAAAATACTTCAATTTAGCTAGATGATGTTATTTCGATTAGTTTAATCATATCATGAAATTCCTACATTAGAATAATTAATTTAAAACAAGTATTTTTATTTGTTCTGAGTCACTTGAATATGAGAATGTCAATAAAAAGCTTTCTAAAATCCGTTAAAACCTCAAATATTTTGGAGTATCAAAGTCAATTCGAGCGATTAAACAAGTTAAGAATTGAACCGAAAACATAGTGTAGAATTAATATTTTGATATAACAAATAAGGACAAAAATGTTTTTGGATCAAATTAAATTTGTTCAAACATTGCAAAAATAATTTAAAGTTTTTAAGTTTTTAAAAGATGAAACAGATAATTTTGGGTCTGATTTCGAAACCCCTTCAAGAGGCTTCGAAACCCCTAAGGCATAATCTAAATCTGGCCTACAGGTTTCGAAACCCCCTCAAAGTTTTGAAACCCTTGTTCAAACGGTCAAAATTTTAAATGAAGGTTTCAAAACTATTATGTATGGCTCATAAATATACTAGTAAAGAGGACACATGGTTATTTTTGTAAATATGTACCAAGGTTTATTTATTATAAAAGGAGATATAACCTAAACCTATGAGATATTTGAATGAAAAACTAGCGTCGCCTAAGGCACCGAGGACATAAGCACATTGCTGAACCTCGTTAAAATTATTATGTTCTTTCTATTTTCTTTACCTGATTATTCAACAGAAACCCTCTTTAAAGGTTTCAAAACCTTGTACAGAATTACAGATTTTTCAGCTCCCAACGGCTCCAAATCATCCCCAACTGCTAGAAACGGCTAGTAACTCATTTCAACATATAAAAACAAGTTCAAAACACTTAAAGAAGCAGACAAACACCTATCCAAGTATTCATACACAAGAGAAAAGTTTTTCAATCCTTATTTTTCTTTCTCTGTAAATATTTGTGTTTTGAGCTTAATTGTATATCCTTAGGTTTTGTTTTTGTGAGCTAAATCTTTGTAAACACCAACCTAGAGAGGTCTTATTGTTTATACATTTCTTATCCTTTTTAAAGGGGTTTTGGTTCTAGTTTAGCCAAGTAAAAAACTAGGGATTTGTAAAGGTTACTCTTGATCATTGAAAATGAAAGAACAAATTAGTGGATTTGTTGAAAAATCCTAAGTGAAGAGCTTATGTAGTGGATGTAGACTTGGTTGATAAGTTAAATCATTATAAATCATTGTGCAAATTTCCCTATCATTATACTCCTTACTCCCTAAACTTCAAAAAACTTGGCATATTTCGGTTAATCGAACGTTCATCGAACCCAACAATTGTTATCAGAGTCTGACTCATTAAATGATATAATAACCTTGAGATGATCCTTGAAGAAGCTTTATCTATTTCTGACATAACCGAGAATATGACTTCCACCTCTGGCTTGTTCCATATTGAAGACTATAAACCGATCAACAAGCCTCCATACTTTAATGGAGACAACTACCATCATTGGAAGAAATGAATGAAGATATTCATCCAATCCAATGACCTTGATACATGGGAGATGATCGAGAATGGCTACTATTCTCCAAACAAGTGGAGTGACCAAGAACGAAAGAAAGCCCAACAAAATGCCAAGGTAATGCACATGTTGTTTTGTTCATTTGGTCCCGATGTCTATGAATGAATTTCTTCTTGTTCAAATGCCAAAGAGATTTAGAATAAGCTCTAAGAACTTCATGGTGACAAGAAAGAAGAACCACCAAAGGTATTGTGCTTAATGGCTCTTGAAGAATCCAAAGTATCTTCTAACTCTATTGAATCTAATTCATATTCTTTAATGAGCTACAAGATGCATACAATGAATTATTTTTGGAGTTTGAGACCATGAACTCCAAATACAAGAAAATGGTTTCAAAATTTAAATTCGAAAAATATTTTCTTTTGAAAGCAAAATTAGATTTTGAAACATAAAATGAAATTTTAAAAAATTATTTAGAGCTTTCAAAAGTAAAAATTGAAAATTTTGAAAAAGATTGCTTTGATTTAAAAGTTAAGCTTGAATGCTTAAAAATGAAAAGAAATAATTTTAAATAATTCATCTAATTTCATAATGACAAAATGCTTACATTGTCATTATCATGGTCATATGGAACATGTTTGTCATTTAAAGAAAGGAAAACATTTTAAAATTAGACAAATATGGGTTCCTAAGGGAACAAGGGGCATTAAAACTAACGTTCAAGGATCCAAAGCAATTTTGATACCAAAATCCAATTAAATGTCTCTTGTAGGTGTGTGGGAGCAATGGTGACAAAGTGAAGATATTAAGATGCTCTGGCTATACTTGAAAAGGAATGTGTAACCTCTAAGCTTAATGTTTTTGTTTTGATTAATTAGTTGCTTATTTGTTGTATGCATGCATGAGTTTTGAACTTAAATGATTTTGTGTTGATTTTCTATCTCATGTATGTTAAAAAGTTTTGTGATGAATATTTTTTTAAAGTTTTAATGATTTTTCATAAATGTTTGTTCATCATAATGAATTTTGGTCAAAATTAGTTTTAATGCTTTGTTTTTACAAATTTTAATTTTTGACCTTAATTTAAATGTTTATGCATGTGATTTATTGCAAATGATATCTTTCTAACAATTGATATCAATTTGTCAAATTCATAACATTTTTGGATAGCTTTATGCACATGCACTTCAATACAACAATTGGTATTGCAAAAAGTATATTAGACTTGGATATATTGAATTTCATGTGTTACTAACATGTTTGTTCGTCTTTGTTGAAATTCAATGTCTTTTAAATGTTAAATTATTAAAGTCAATTTTTGTTTGGAATGCACTTGTTGAGAGAGAGTTTTTGATTTTCCAAATGATTTTAATGTTAAAATTACTAGTTACTCTCCATTTTTATTTTGTACCTTAAAAGTATGAATTATTTTTTATATAACAAAAAGGAGGAGAAGTGTGAGTTTGAAAATTTCAATTTCAAGAATGATAAAGAGGGAGCTTTAATATTTTCCAAATAATTATCTTTTTCATTAAATGTATTGATATGAAGGGCTTTTACCAAAAACTATTTTTCAAAGGTTTTGTTATATAAAAAAGGGGGAGATTGTAGAACTAATATTTTGATATAATAAATAAGGGCAAAATTGTTTTTGGACCAAATTGAATTTGTTCAAACATTAGAAAATAATTCAAAGTTATTAAGTTTTTAAAAAGGTGAACAGACAATTTGGGTTTGATTTCGAAACCCCTAAGACAAAGTCTAAATGTGGCCTACATGTTTCGAAACCCCCTTAAAGGTTTCAAAACCCCCTATTCAAACGGTCAAAATGAGAGAGAGTTTTTGATTTTCCAAATGATTTTAATGTTAAAATTACTAGTTACTCTCCATTGTTATTTTGTACCTTAAAAGTATGAATTATTTTTTATATAACAAAAAGGAGAAGAAGTGTGAGTTTGAAAATTTCAATTTCAAGAATGATAAAGAGGGAGCTTTAATATTTTCCAAATAATTATCTTTTTCATTAAATGTATTGATATGAAGGGCTTTTACCAAAAACTATTTTTCAAAGGTTTTGTTATATAAAAAAGGGGGAGATTGTAGAACTAATATTTTGATATAATAAATAAGGGCAAAATTGTTTTTGGACCAAATTGAATTTGTTCAAACATTAGAAAAATAATTCAAAGTTATTAAGTTTTTAAAAAGGTGAAACAGACAATTTTGGGTTTGATTTCGAAACCCCTAAGACAAAGTCTAAATGTGGCCTACATGTTTCGAAACCCCCTTAAAGGTTTCAAAACCCCCTATTCAAACGGTCAAAATTTTAAATGAATGTTTCAAAAACCCCTTTAAAGGTTTAGAAACCCTACACAGAATTACAGATTTTTCAGCTCCCAATGACCCCAAATCATCCCCAATGGCTAGTAACTCATTCAATTATTATTTGTCTTTCTCTTGTAAATGTTTGTGTTTTGAGCTTAATTGTATATACTTAGGTTTTATTTTTGTGAGCTAAATCTTTGTAAACTCCAACCTAGAGATGTCTTCTTGTTTACACATTTTTTATCCTTTGTAAAGAGGTTTTGGTTCTAGTTTAGCAAAGTGAAAAAACTAG